TGCGCCGACCACTGCGCCGCTCCTGTTTGACCGACTCGATTCCAGCGCTACCCCAATCAACATCTCTGACACCGAGGACATAGCACGAGTAAGACACCTCGCCAACGCGGACGTTTGAATATGTCCAGCCCTCCAGTGATGATGATTGACCCCGATACCAATTACATGCCGCCATCATACCAACAAGGGCCTCATAGCCGTCCGACTCTACGTCAGAGAGAGCTCCCTTGACGTCAATAACTCATCTTCTGGCCGAACAGGGCTTTTACGACGGGCGCCATTTTTCACCGGGTATTCCCGATTCATGATCCAGGGCGGTGACCCCACCGGCACAGGTACCGGCGGACCAGGCTACCGATCTTGAAGGACGAAATCGACCGCGATCTTAACTTCGATGCTGCCGGGATATGGCGATGGCGAATGCTGGGCCAGATACTAACGGTAGCCAGTTCTTCATTACCGTCGCCCCTGCTCCTTGGTTAAACGGCGGCCACACGATATTCGGACAGGTAATTGTTGGTCAGGAGGTCGTAGAGGCAATTTCGCAAGTCGGTACCGACGGCCAAGACCGCCCTCTGGAAGGGGTAGTAATTCAGGCCATCGAATTAGAAAAACGTTAGTAGTCTTCATTTCCCACTGGTATCATACAAGGACGTCTAAGCCCGGCATATTGGCGATTGACAACTTCCAAGCCCAGTAGAGATCGGTCTTTATTTCAGGGTCTCTTCGGGTCCGGTTATACGCCAGTACGGATGGAAAGGTCCCAGCCATCATCTTTCTTGCCGAGCGTTACAGCCGATGTTTGGTACCAGGCTGTGCACTGAGGTTACCTGATTGACAGGCAGAACGATATTATTGGGTTTGCTATTCCTCTCCTTCACCCTCGCCTGCGTCCCTAAATTGACATCCGATCAGGTGCAACCAGCCCCTGCGTCTCAACAGCCAGTCCCGATTCCCCAACCCCACCCCCAACATCGATGCCACGTTGAAGCCCTGGTTTCCAAGTATGTGCGTGAGGAAATGGCTGCCATTCCCACCATTACGCCGGCCCCTACCGCCACTCCATGTTTCCTCCCGGCCGCTTCAAACCCCGCCCCGGCGACGTCCGGCATGTCCTCGGACCCAGGCCGAATCGCCTGAACCATTGGCGACGCCATCGTCGGTTCAACCTCTCCGCTTAACTCTGGATCTGCTCCTCTTCCGGCATCTATCGATCTGTCTGCCATGGTCAACCGCGTTAAATCTGGCGTGGTCCGGATAACACGTCCTCCGGCGTCGGTAGTGGAATCATTGCCGACATCGCTGAGGGGCAGAAGGGGCTGGTCCTGACCAACTACCACGTCGTTGCTGACTCTTTCCGTATCGACGTGCTGGTAAACGACAACCGGACTTTTCGCGGCCGCGTGGTGGGGTTTGACGAAGAAAAGGACCTGGCAGTCCTGGAAATCTGTTGCGACAATTTCCAGAAGCTTGAGTTCAGCAGCGCAGCCAACATCAGCGCCGGCAGTGAAGTTGTGGCGATTGGCTATGCCTTGGGCCTCACCGGCAACGCCACCGTCACCCGGGGCATCGTCTCCGCCGTTCGCTACCATCCCACCATGAAGGCCTGGGTTATTCAGACCGACGCGTCAATCAACCCCGGCAACAGCGGCGGGCCGTTGTTGCTGCCCACCGGAGAAGTCATCGGCGTTACCACATTCCTCCAGAGCCAGGACAACCGGGGCAATCCCACCGCAGGCCTGGGCTTTGCCATATCCGAAAAGAGCATTCGGGAGTTGCTCCCCGACCTGATGGGAGGAGCCAAGGTAGTCCGTTCCCCGCAAACTGGGAATGGCGGTTCCGGCCCTGGCAGGACAGCCCTGGACTGGCAAACCTACACCAACGGCACCCACAACTACTCTATAGACGTGCCGGTCGGCTGGAGCATTGACGATAGCGACGCCAGCCACGTCCACTTTGACAGCCCCGACGACTTCGCCGGCTCCACCGTCATTGCCTACGACGAACCCGTGCAAACCACGGAAAGCTGGTTAGACGACGTTCTGGAACAGCACCGGAACTTCTACCGAGGTCGCTTCCAGCTTGTGGAACGGGAATCTACGGGTTACTCTCAGGGTAATGCCGGAGGATACATCGTCTTTAGGGCCCAGGTGTCCCGCCAGTTCTGTTTGCTGCGTGTAACCGAGCTTTTCTTCAGGTCTGCCAGCGGGAACTTCGTCGCATCGTTCCATGTTTGTGAGCATTCCTATGCCCGGCACTCCCCAATCCAGCAAGCTGTCCTGTCCAGCTTTGAATTGCCCTGAACTGTGTTCCCCAGCCAAGATTGAGGGACTGAGGGGTTGACGCTTCCCCTCCGTTCCTTTGAGGGTAGGAACTTCAATAGACACAATAGGCGCGTTCAAGAAAAACTTGAGATTCTTAATAGTTTCTTGAAACTTATTCCTTATATTCTTATCAGCGACTGTCGCAACCCTGATTTTTCGGTTACAAGCAAAGCAATTGTGGTTGCAGGAAGGAGGAGGTGTCCTAGTGAAGATGACGCGAAACAAGGTTTTCATGATGCTGGCCGCCGGTGCGGTGGCACTGGGCATAGCGGGTGGCATAGCGGTGGCTTCCACCGCCACCGGCGTTCAAGCCCACGGAGGGTTTGGAGGAGGTGGGAGCGGGGATGGCGCCAGTTTTGCTTCGCGGGTGGCTGACAAGCTGAACGAAGCCCTGAGTCTGGATGAAGACATTACCGAAGCCCAGGTTCTGTCCGCCTTCAATGGCATCACCGCTGACCGCCAGGATGAGCGTCTTGAGGCCAGGCTGGATGAACTGGAAGTAGAGGATGATACAAAAACCGAAATCACGGACTGGTTCGACGAGTATCCCTATGACGATCTTATCCGCCTGCGATTCATTGGACTGGCGGACTCAGACAAGGTAACCAGTCAACTGGAGCGCCTGGTAGAAAAGGAGAGAATCACCCAGGCCCAGTCCGACGGTATTGAATCCTGGTACGACGACCGCCCCGACTTTCCCGAGGGCCTGGAGTGGTCTGGCAACGGCCGGCGGCACCATCGGAACGGTAATAGCGACAGCAGCAGTGAAGATGGCGATGCTAGTTCGTCCTTTCGCGGTCGGCACGGTCGTGGCGGCGACGGCGCTGGTTCCTTCTTCCGCGGCCGGTTTGGCCGGGGCGGAGGCAACGGGTTCGTGGGCAATCCTCTGTAGCAGATTTCGGGAAGGACCGGGGCCGGGCGTGAATGGAGCCTGGTCCCGTCCTTCAAATTGGCCCCGGCGTATGAGGGCGAAAAAAAGGAGAGGTATTCCGGCTAAAGGTAGGCTGCCGGACCATACAAAAGGAAACTGAAGGGACCTGCCTATATAATGAACACACAGGACTTGGCCTTCAGCTTCCTCTGGGCGGCTAGGGTGGCGCCTGAATTGGAAGAAAGTCTGGAGAGAATCATGTTGGCTGGGCTGACCGCCGGCTCTGCTGCCTCCATTGTTGCCGTCCTGGTTTCGTTGCCTCTGCGCTCTCCCAGCGACACCTTGTTCAACAGTGCATCCGTAACCCTGGCCGCGCTTCTGGCCGGAGTGCTGGCCGGTGTAATCTGGCTCATTTTGAGGCGCTCGCAGCGGCCGGAAATGCGGTTCTTAGTTGTCTGGTCAGTCGCATTCCTGCCACTGGCCCTGGTCATTATCCTGATTGGCCGTTCCCAGTTGGACCATTTCACCGCGTTTGCGGTCCCGCTGGCCCTGATTATCTACCTGCTGACGGGAGTCCTGACCATTTCGATCCCCCGTTATCTGCCCAACCAGAGATGGTGGTGCGCCACCGCGGCCGTTGTGACCGCGCTGGTCATTGGCTTTGGGCTGGTAACTCAAACAGACCAGGAAAGCGGCAAGCTGGAGCTGCCACCGCCCGGTTCGCGGACTATCGAGGATGCGGTCCCTGTCCTGGGAGGATCAATAGAGGCAAATGGCAATAATCTTGGTTAAAGTGAGCAGTTAGTGAAGGTAATATTCGCAAACCTGAGAACTGGAAGGAAATCCACATTCCAAATTTTGACGTCCACTGGGATGGCCACTCTGCTGTTGCTCTTGGCGCTGGCGGCGGGGTGCGGTTCTGGCTCATCGCCTGAACAGCCTGCCGAACCTCCAGCAGCGGCCACCGCCCAACCCGCGCCCCAGCAAGCCGAACCTGCTACCTCAGTTCCTGCCGCGGAGACCATCCAGCAGGCCGAGCCAACCCAGCCAACCGAACCTTCAGCGGCTCCTGAGTCGGCTTCCGAATCGGCCTCGAAGCCCGTTCCGACCGCTTCAACAGTTCGGTCCGCCGTGGCCACGGCCCAACCAACGGTTGCCACCGAGCCACAACCCGAACCCACCGTTGCCGAACCGGCACCCACTGATGTAACCAATGTCCCCGAAACTGAGCCAGCCGGTGATGGTGGCGGCTACATCGTTGGAGAGGGGTCCGAGGCTACCTTCACAGTCAACGAAAAGCTGGCCTGGCTTGACCTGCCCAACGACGCGGTGATGAAGACCGTTGGACTAAACGGCAACATCCTCCTTGACGGACAGCCCTCCGTAATTGAACTGGACCTTCATTCCATGACCAGCGACGAGGACCGGCGGGATGGTTACGTTCGAAATCGCATGTTCCCCAATGACAGGATAGCTATCTTTACCGTCACCGACTTGGGAGACCTCCCTGACCCCTTGCCCGAAGGGGAGGTAATAGCCAGGGAAGTACAGGGCGAACTTTCTATTCGGGGAGTGACCAAGCCTGTCGTCTTTGAAATACAGGCCCGCCTTGACCCAGGGAAATTGTTCGTGTTGGGGCGCACTACTTTCACGTGGGACGAGCTTGAAATTCCCCCGCCCAATATTCCTGGCCGCATCCAGGTACAGGACGAGGTCAAGGTGGAAGTGTTGCTGGCCGCCGTCCCGGCTGGGGGATAGGGACTTGAACGCTGTCTGAAGCGAACTTCAAACCGGCGGTACCGAAAATGTCCAACACGGTGCTCATAATTGAAGATGACCCCCATACCACTGAACTGGTCCGTCTTTACCTGTCCCACGACGGCCATGAGGTCTTGTCGGCGTCTACCGGTCCCGAGGGATTGGCCCGGGCCCGCGAAACCGACCCGGACCTGGTGGTGCTGGACTTGATGCTTCCGGGCCTGGATGGGCTAGAAGTCTGCCGCTCACTCCGGGCCGAGTCGAATGTGCCCATCGTGATGTTGACCGCTCGGGTTGAAGAAGAGGATATGCTCACCGGATTGGGTTTTGGCGCCGACGACTACGTTACCAAGCCCTTCCGGCCCAGGGAACTGGCCGCCCGTGTGCAGGCTGTGCTGCGGCGCACCGGCCGCGACCTTTCGGAAGGCAGCGGGGCAGAACTCATAAATGGCCCCATACGGGTCAGCCTTCGGGAGCGGTCTGTTGCCGCCGCCGAAAGCCCCGTTTCCCTGACTCCCACCGAGTACCGAATTCTGGTGTTGCTGATGCGCGATCCCGGCCGCACTTTTCCCGGGAACAGATCATAGACCGGGTTTTCGGCCAGGACTTTGACGGCTTTGACCGTACAGTAGACACCCACATCTACAGTCTTCGGCGAAAACTGGAGGCCCCCCTGGAAGGCGCCCGCTACATTCATACCATTTACGGGATGGGTTACCGCTTTGGCAATGCCTAGTTGGCTCACCAGCCTGCAGTTCCGGCTGATTCTGGCCTTCACCGCCACGCTGACCCTGGCGCTGGCGGCAGTGGGAATCTTTGTGAGTGTAGCCGCGGGAGCAGAAACTGACCGGTTCCAGACCCGCAACCAGGAGTTTCGAGTGGGGCGCGTTCACCGCATGGTCGCCCGGCATTTCTCGGAAAACCGGGGCTGGGATGGGGTTCAACCCTCTTTGGAGCAGGCCGGTTCCTTCTACGGCCGCCGCTTCGTGGTTAAAGATAATGACGGAGACGTGATAGCCGATTCCCACCATCGCGAAACCAGGGGCGCCTCTGGGCGGAATACCCGGGGGCGCTCTGTGCCGATAGAAATTGAAGGGAGCACCGTGGGGTTTTTGGTATCAGCGTCCGAAGGAGTGGATGGCGACGGGGGTACGGGCCTTCTCGCCGGTGGGCCACGTGTTCAACCCCCGGGACCGGAACAGGTTCGCGAGCCCCTTGTTTCCCGGGTGGCGGCAACTGTTAACAAGTCCCTGCTACTGGCTGGGCTGGCCGTCGGAGCAGTCGGAATAGTCCTCATTGCTTTCATATCACGCCGGATTCTGGCGCCGGTTCGGGCCCTTGGCGGCGCTGCCCAGCGGCTTGGTCAGGGCGACCTCGGCCAGCGTGTCCCTGCCTCGGGCCCTTCGGAGATACGCGACCTGGGCAATACCTTCAATACAATGGCCGAGAACTTGCAGGCCGCGGAACAGCAGCGCCGCAATTTGGCCGCCGACGTTGCCCACGAGTTGCGCACGCCCCTCTCCAATATCCAGGGGTACCTGGACGCGGTCCACGACGGCTTGCTGCAGCCCGACCAGGCAACCATAGCCACCGTGCGCCAACAAACAACCCTCCTGGTGGCCCTGGTCGAAGACCTGCGCCTGCTGGCCTTGGCCGAGGCCGGCTCCCTGGCCCTGCAAATCCGGCCGGAGTCCCTGCAAGACCTTTCTGGATTCCTCCATAGAAGCGTTCCGACCCCGGGTTGAGGCGAAGGACATCCGGTTGGTTCTCGACATTCCAGGCGACCTTACTGAGGCAGCCCTCGACCGCACCCGGATTTCCCAGGTGGTGGGAAACCTTCTGGAGAATGCTATCGTCAATACGCCCGAGGGTGGAGTGGTGACAGTGACCGCTGAAACTGGCCGCTCAGCCGTGACCATTTCCGTTAGCGATACCGGCCCCGGCATTACTCCGGAGGATGCTGAGAGGGTGTTTGATCGCTTTTATCGTGTCGACCCGTCCCGCTCCAGGGCCACCGGGGGGGCCGGGCTGGGGTTGACCATTGCCAGGCAACTGATCGAGTCCCACGGCGGGGCTATTTGGGTAGACGGCGCTACAGGACAGGGATCCACATTCATTTTCACCCTTCCGTTGAATCGGGATTCGGAATAATCCTACTCCCCGGGAGCGAGGTTTAGTTATGGCATCACTTTGGGGCGCAATTAAGTCTCTGGCTATCTGGCAGATACTGGTCCTCGTCCTGGTATTGTTCGGTTCCGGGGGTGCAGTGTTTTACTTTTACACTGACGCAACTCAGTCAGAGACCACGGAACTTGCGGAGAACCAGCAATTAATCCCTATCCGCTACGGCGACATCGTCAACCAGGTGTCCACCAACGGCAACGTTGCCTTTCCCGAACGGGAAACCGTCACCTTTGGGATAAAGGGAGTCATCGGCGACTTGCTGGTGGAAGAAAGCCAGTCCGTGAGCGCGGGACATGTGTTGGCCCGTGTGGACGCTCCTACCCTGGCAGCCCTTGAAGGAGCCGTTTCCCAGGCCCGTGTGGACTTGCTGCAAGCTGAGGAAGCCCTGGCCGAATTGCTGGAGCCAGAGTCCGAGATAACCAAGGCGCTGGAAAGGGCTACCGCCGAGGAAAGAATAGCCGGTGCCCTGTTTCAGCTAGACCAGGCCCAGGAAGCCCTCGAAGAAGTACTGGACCCCGAAATACCGACTCTCCTCGACCTGGAAGCCAAGAAGGAGCAGATCGCCGCCACCGAACTCCAGATTCAGCAAAGGAAAGAAGAGCGGGACGAACTGCTGAATCCTGACCTGCCCTCCGACCAGGTTATCAAGGCCCAGGAAGAGTTGATCGCCGATGCCAGGATCAAACTCCAGGAAGTCATTGACAGCAAGGAGGAACTTCTGTCCAGAAATCTGGAGCCCGACTACGAAATGAAAGTCGCAGAGTCCCTGCAGAAGAAGGTGGACGCCGAAAAGGAACTGGCTGAACTACAGGAATCCCTGGATGAACTGGAACCTTCGGAACGGGAGTTGATTGAAGCCTACCAGACCCGTCTGAAGGCGCAAATCGCCCTGGATGAGGCCACCCAAACCCTCGAGGACTTTGAAGATACTCACGGGTCCAACCTTACCACCCTCCGCATCGAGAAGGCTGACCTTGAAAAGAAACTTGCTTCTGATCGAGGGACTCTGCGCTCCCTGCAGGAGGCCTACGACAGCGGCACCCTGGGCCTGGCCAGCAACATCCGGCGCTGGGAGGCTTACGTCGCCAATCTCGAGACAGAACTGCAAGAGGTAAGGCAGGGCATCGTTTCCCAGGTCGAGGAACTGGAAGCCAACCTTGCCGTCGCCCAGGCCGACCTCATCGAAGCTGAAGAGCTTGTCTCCGAACTTACCCAGGGTCCCGATTCTCTGGAGCGGGAAGTGCTGGAGGCCAGGGCCAATGCCATCCAGGCTAACCGGCAGGTTATTGACCGCGACCTGGCCGAGCTGGAACGCCCCGAAGTCGACCCCCTGGAACTGTCCCTGATAGAAGCCAGAATCGTTCTGGCCGAGGCGACCCTCAACCAGGCCGTCGAAGACCTGGCCGAACTCCGCGAGGAACAGCAGGAAACCCCGGACTCCCTGGAATTGGAGTTGAATACCAAGCAACTGGAACTGGCCGAAGCAACCCTGGCCCAGCACTGGGAGGACTACAACCAGCTGCTGGAGGACCGGAAGATTCAGCCTGACCCTCTGGAAGTAGCCCTGAGGGAACAGCAGATAGCTTTAGCTGAGGCGACCCTGGCCCAGGCGGAAGAGGATTACGCCCAGTTGCTGGAAGACCAGAGCAGTCCCCCGGACGCTACTGAAGTTGCTGTAGCCGAGCAGAAGATACTGTCAATAGAGAATCGGCTCGCCATCTCCCAGGCGGACTTGGAGTCCGTTGCCATCACCGCCCCCATCAGCGGCTACGTAACGGTCCTGAATGTGGAAACTGGCGACAGCTTTGAATCCGGTACGGAAATCCTGGAAATCCTGGACCCCACCATCGTAGAAGTTGACGGCATCGTCGACGAGATTGACGTGCTTCTGGTCCAGGTTGGCACCGCCGCCGAGGTCAATCTGGACGCCTTGCCTGGTCTCACCATAGAGGGGGTCGTCACCGAAATCGCCGAAGAGTCCCAGAATCAGCAGGGCGTGGTGAGCTTTCCTATCCGCATCAGGATGGAAGTGCCCGAGGGAATCGAGCCTCGGGCCGGCCTGAGCGCCGTCGCCAACATAGTCTTGAGGGAGGAACGAAACGTCCTTCTGGTACCCCAGCAGGCCCTCTACGGCTCCTTTACCCAGCCGGTGGTCCGCGTCATGACAGACTTTGGCGTGTCCGAGCAGCCGGTTGAACTGGGAAGCAGCGATGACTTCTGGGTAGCCGTCAAGGCGGGCCTCTCCGAGGGCGATCAGATAGTCCTTGAAGGGGCCGACGTGGGAGCCAGCGAATTCAGCTTCCGCAACTTGCGGCGGGCCACCGGTGGCGGCTTTGGTGGCCGTGGTGGCGGGCGACCTCGCTAATAACCTTGACCACGGCTTGGCAGAGAGGCAGATTTGCAGCCAGCAACTATTGAACTCAAAGACGTAACAAAAATATATCGGATTGGCAACATCGAGGTGGGCGCCTTGCGTGGCGTCTCCGTAACCATCCAGTCTGGAGAAATGGTGGCCATCATGGGCGCCTCCGGTTCGGGAAAGTCTACGATGATGAACGTTCTGGGCTGCCTCGACATCCCGACCTCCGGGCAGTATTTCCTCGATGGCGAAGACGTGGGCCACCTTGGCGATGACCGGCTGGCCGAAATCCGCAACCGCAAGATCGGCTTCGTCTTCCAGACTTACAATTTGCTGCCTCGCCTTACCGCCCTGGCCAACGTGGAACTGCCACTGCTCTACGGCAACGGCCACGACCGGCGGCGGCGCTCCATGCAGGCCCTGAACCGGGTGGGCCTTGCCGAACGTGTCGGCCACCGCCCCACTGAACTGTCCGGCGGGCAGCAGCAGCGGGTGGGAATCGCCCGCGCCCTGGTCAAGGAGCCCAGCATTCTGCTTGCCGACGAGCCCACCGGAAACCTGGACAGCCAGTCCACCGAGGAGGTGGTTGCCATACTGCAGGACCTGAACCGGCGGGAAGGACTGACGGTCATCATTGTTACCCACGAGCCGGATATTGCTGAGGCCACACGGCGTGTCATAACCATGCGCGACGGTCAAGTCATCGAAGATCGGGAACAACGATGAACCCTCTTGTAACCCTTCGCATTGCCCTCGCCTCCCTGGGAGCCAACAAGCTGCGCTCGGGCCTAACGCTGCTGGGCATCGTCATTGGCGTTGGCGCCGTCATTTCGCTTATGGCAATAGGGCAGGGAGTACAGCAGTCCATCACCTCCAACATCGAGTCCCTGGGCAGCAACCTGATTTTTGTTCAGCCCGGCAATTCGAGCCAGGGCGGTGGCGCCGCCACACTGACCCTGCAGGATGCTTATGCCCTGGATGACCCGGTGTTTGCCCCGGAGGTAATGGCGGTAGCGCCGGAAATTCGCGCATCGGGGCAGGTTCCGGCGGGCCGCAACAACACTTTTGCCCAGATCGTGGGTGTTACTCCCGAGTACACTGACGTTCGCAACTTTCCCGTGGAAAATGGAAGTTTTATCACCGAAGGCCACCTGGCAAACAACTCGCAGGTAGCCGTGCTGGGGCAGACCATCAATGAGACTCTCTTCGGCAACCGCGATCCGCTGGGGCAGCCTATTCGCATTAACGGCCGCCAGTTCGAGGTGATCGGGCTGCTGAAGAGCAAGGGCAGCGGTTTCTTTGGCAACTTCGACAACCAGATACTGGTGCCCATCACCACCGCCTACTACCGGATTAGTTCCCAGCGCACCACCCATGGCGATATCGGCGTCGATTCCATCAACGTTCAGATGCCTGACATCGATGCCATGGACTCGGGCATGCGCCAGGTTGCCACGGTGCTCCGCCTGCGTCACCACATAACCGGCGAGGACGACTTCATCATCACCAACCAGCGGGATACCATCGAGACCCTGGAGGAAACCACCAACACCTTTGTTGTGTTCCTGGCAGCTATCGCCGGAATATCGCTGCTGGTGGGAGGCATCGGCATTATGAACATCATGCTGGTGTCGGTAACGGAACGCACCCGGGAGATTGGAATTCGCAAGGCTATGGGAGCCAAGCGGCGGGATATTCTGCTTCAGTTCGTTTCCGAGGCCACGCTGCTCAGCCTGGGTGGGGGAGCCGCCGGCGTCATAATTGGCGCCGCCGTGGCCCGGCTGCTCAATGGCCGACCGCTACTGGGCAACAACCCGATGCAAACAGCCTTCAGCTGGGACATAGCTATCCTGGCCCTGGGCGTGTCGGCGATTATTGGCTTGTTCTTCGGCATATATCCCGCCGTCCGCGCTGCCCGTCTCCATCCCATAGAGGCCCTCCGGTACGAATAAGCGAGGCAACATGAACACGACCTTTATCATGCTTCTGGCGCTGGTAATTTTCCTGGGCGCCGGATTTGGCGGCTCCTTCGTCGGGGGTGTCATCTATGGGCAGACCCTCCAGGACGATGAAAGCGAGCTCTCTCCCAGGTTGGGCGCTGCGGGTCAATTCCCGGGCGGCGGTCAGGAAACAGCCGATGGCGGACAACGAGGCCAGGGCAGGCCGGGGCAGGGCGGCGGCTTTGGCGCTCCACAAGGCGCTGGCGGTCAGGCCGCTGCTCGGCGAGGTGGAGGCGCGGGCAATCCCGGAGGCGGGGAGGGAGGCCCGAGTCAGGTCGGCGGGTTCGAGGCTCCACAGGGCCAGGGAGGTTCGGCCGCAGACCGCCAGGACGAAGGGCAGGACACTGCTGTGGGGCAACAGGTGACTGAGCAGCAGTCTGACGGCCAAAACAATCAGGATGGTCAGCGGGGGGAGAGACTCGAACGGGGCGGACAGAGCGAATCCATGGATCCGGATTCACAGTCCAACCCGGCACCCAATGCCGAAGGACCGGCCTCCCAGGGAACCACCAACGTCCAGGCCGGGCGGGGAGATAGCTCCGATACGGTTTCGGCAAGTAGAGGCGGCGCGGCAGGCACAGTCCAGGGACTGGAGGGAGATGCGCTAATGGTTGCATCGCCCAGGGGCGAGTTGACGGTAATGCTGTCTGACTCCACAACGGTTTACGAAGTAAGTGAGACCACGCGGGAAGCCCTGACCGCCGATGCCAGGGTGCGGGTGATTGGTTCGAGAAGCCCTGAGGGTGAAATAGCGGCCCAGTCTGTGGTGATAGTACCGGAGGGAGTGGAAGCCTTGTTCGGGGCCGTCGGAGCCCCTGGTGGACGGCAACGGGGTGGTGGTCCCTAATGTTTCGCCAATCAACCCAGTATGCGGGGTGTAGACATTAATTCGGAACATATACAAAAAGGGCGGCAACCAGCCGCCCCTCTCATTTTTACGGCGCGCAAAAACGACTATCCGTTAGCTCCCTCGATCATGCTCGTCATTTCTTCGACGCTTTTGTCGCCGAAGTCCGGGTCGCCGCCATTTATGCGGTAGGTGGGGGTGCCGAAAATGCCCAGGTCCTTGGCCGCCTGGTGTTCGGTCATTACGTAGTCCCGGTATTGCCCCGAATCCAGGGCGGCGCCCAGTTCAGCGGCGTCAAGCCCGCACTCGGCGCCCAGTTTGAGCAGCACCTCACGGTTGGCCAGGTCGACACCGTCTTCCCAGTAAGCCCGAGCGGCGGCGTGATGGAATTCCCCATCCAAACCCTTGTCCTTGGCAAAGGCGGTGGCCTCGTGGGCCACGTTGGTGTTGGGGCTAAGCGCCGGGCGGCGCATCACGATGCCCGCCTCCTGCGCCCGTTCTTTCCACGCATCATTCAGTTCAGTCTCAGTTTCGCCTTCCCGCAAGGGTCGGGGTTCCCCTTCAATGGGGCGTTCCGGGGACAGCAGGTAGGGCCGCCGGTCGATGACGGCGCCGGTGGTTTCCGCAGCTTTGTCCAGCCTGAGCAGGCCGACATAGCACCAGGGTCAAGTATAGTCGTACCAGACGACAACGTTAGTCCCATTGCTGGTGGTCATTCTGCCCTCCATTCCTGCGATAGAATTGTAGTCGTATTGTATCACGGCGAAATGTTTCAGACGGCTGGTTCCTGAGATTGGCAGGGTGAAGAGATGCAATTCCCCTCGCTAATATCTTTATCTGTTTAATGTGGGCCAGCCCTTCCCTTCCGCTATAATGGGGGCGCGGCGACCAACGTCTCGGTGGCCGTTGAACACGCAATTCGTAAGAATAAGGAGGCCATTATGCCGTTCGGAGGCAACGACTGGCTGGCACTGACTCAGGAAGAGACTCTTGAACCCGATATTCCCATAATTGATCCCCACCACCACTTCTGGGACAAGCGATCGGAACGGATTCCCTACCAGCGCTACCTGCTCCACGAACTGGCCGACGATCTTAACGCTGGCCATGACGTTCGCTCCACCGTTTTTATCGAGGCGCGGGCCATGTACCGGGCCGGCGGGCCGGTGGAAATGCGGTCCGTGGGCGAGGTAGAATTCGTACAGGGACAGGGCGCGGCCAGCGCCACCGGCCTTTACGGCCCCGCCCGGGCCGCCGCTGCCATCATCGGCCACGCCAACCTGAACCTGGGCGCCGAGGTAGAGGGTGTGCTGGACGCCCTGCACGAGGCCAGCCCCTACCATTTCAGGGGAATCCGCCACTCCGTAACCTGGGATCCCCATCCCGAGGTTGATAACACGGCGGCCCACAACATGCCGGGCCAACTGGCCAGCGACAAGTTCCGAGAGGGAGCTAAGGTGCTGGCCAGCAAAGGGTTGACCCTGGAGGGCTGGCTTTACTTCCCCCAGTTGCCCGAACTCGCCGACTTCGCCAAGGCCGTACCCGACCTGACCATCATCCTCAACCACATCGGTGGGCTGCTGAGGGTGGGCCCCTACGCCAACGGCGGCGAGGAACTGATGGACACTTGGCGCAAGGGCATCGCTGCCGTAGCTGCATGCCCCAACGTGGTCTGCAAGCTGGGCGGCATCGGCATGCCCCGCACCGGCTTCGACTGGCACACCCGCACCACACCCATCGGTTCCGAGGAACTGGCCAGCGACATGGCGCCTATCATCAATTACTGCATTGAGCAGTTTGGGCCCAGCCGCTGCATGTTCGAGAGCAACTTCCCGGTGGACAAGGTCTCCTACTCCCACCACGTCCTGTACAACGCCTTCAAGCGCCTGTCCGCCGACTACTCCGAAACCGAACGCGCCGACATGTTCCACGACACGGCGGCGAGGATATACCACATCGGGTAGCTTCTGGCCCAGTTCAGTAAAAAGTAGGGGCGGGTCTGAAACCCGCCCCCGCCACTTGCTTGCCCGTCCCACACTGTCATTCTGAACGATGTGAAGAATCCCAGAGGCAGCCTGGCCAGCAGTCTCCCGTACCAAACCATGTTGAACGGGAACGGTTGGGATTCTTCGTCGCTCCACTCCTCAGAAAGACAGTAAGAAGTGAAAACAACGCAGGGGCGGGTTTCAAACCCGCCCCTGCAAATTTACCACGGCTGCTTAAACGTAGTTCTACTTCCCGTTACCCCCGTTCCCGTTCCGGAACCTGGGAATAACTTCCTTGCCGAACAGCTCAATGGAACTCATCACCTTCTCGTGGGGGATGGTCTCCGTCTGCATGATCATCATCACCTGGTCGACGCCGATGTCCTCGTACATCTGGACTGCCGTGGCGCAACTGTCAGGGTCGCCGGCGATAATCACGCCTCGGTCGGCCAGGGTGTTGGCGTCAAGCTGGGCAATGGCGGCCCGGGCCGCGCCGGGACCGGCGTCCAGGGAAATGCCCGACTCCTCGGCCTGGGCCTTGTGGGCCTCGTCCGACTGCCGCAGCCACCGGCCAAAGTCGGCCTGCAGGTGGTCGGGGACGCCGCCCCAGGCCTCCAGCAGTTCTTCATAAGCGCCAATGCGCCCGGCAATGTAGGGCTTGTCGGGGCCGAAGAAGGTCTTCATGGACTGGGCGGCCAGTTCGCGCGCCTCGTCGTTGTCCGTTCCGCAGTAGGCATGGACGTTGTTGCCCCAGAACTCGGTGGCGAAGGCGCCCACCGGGTTCACGTTCTTCAGTGCTTCCCGGTAAATCTTGACCTGCTCGGCCAGCACTGCGGTGGCGTAGGATGCGGAGGAAAGGACGCCCAGGCCCTTTTCCGCCGCCAGCCGGAAGCTGTCGGCCTGAGTGCAGGCCAGGTACATCCGGGGATGAGGCTTCTGTACAGGCTTGGGCAGCACCCGCCGCTTGGGAACCTGCCAGTGCTCTCCCTCCCACTCGAACTCGTCGGACTGCCAGATCTGGGGCAGCATGGCAATGGACTCTTCCCACAGGGAGCGGGTATTGCGGGGGTCTACGCCCAGGCCCATCTGCTCGTAGGCGTTGGAACGGCCGGTGCCGAACTCCACGCGCCCGTCGGTAAGCTGGTCCACCAGCGCCACCCGCTCCGCGACGCGTACCGGATGGTGGTAGGGCAGGATGCAGACGCCGTACCCGATGCGGATGTTCTTCGTGATGCGGCTGAGGGCGCCGAATATGGCGTCCTGGTTGGGCGAACCGGAAAAGCCGGTCAGGAAGTGGTGCTCCACGAACCAGAGGTTGTCGAACCCGACCTGGTCGGCCAGTTCGCACTGGGCCAGGGTCTCCTTGTAAAGAGCATTCCAGTCAATCTCCGTCCCCTCGTAGGGACGCTGACATTCATACAAAAGCCCAAACTGCATGGCGGTTCCTCCTCAAAAAGACTGGTGAGTTGGTGGGAT